ACTCTCTAGTTCAGCTTTCATCAGTCCAAAGTTTATCTGTGCCTAGTTGAGCTGAATGCAAATGTTAGCATATTAACATTATCATAAAAGGCCATGGTAATGAGGTAGTCAATAACATAATCCAGTTGTCAAGGTCAGCTCTGCACATTCAGATTTAAGTCAAGTTTCATTAGCTCTGCTTTGTGCTGAGGTTAGCGTAGCATTAGGTTAGCATTTAGAATTTCTAATCCGCTGGTTAGTATGTAGCATATACTGAGTTGGAAAGTTAACATGCTAAGATGTGTACAGATAGTATATGCTAATGTATAGCATGCAGAGGTAAGAAGTAAAGTACAAAAACTTTACTATATTTTGCCCCATACATTTCATACAAATATCTGTACTTTCGACTCCTTGCGGCTTTAAAACAGGCTTCTTACTTATGTTTTTGCATTGTTTGCCTTCCCTACACCAAGACCCGTGCATATTATGCATTACAGATGTAACATGACAAAAACAACGTAGAAGGTAACAAGACAAAACAAACAAGACTGATCCAGGAAAGTTATCCTGAGGCACCTTCTAACATAAAATCACATGACAGGTTGGACACCTCACCGGGAGGATTTAACCAAGACTTTTCTTTACGTGAGAGACAAGACTGGGTGGAGCAGAAAAAGGAACGTCTGGTTTTGGAGATTATCTGCCATTCAGTTTTATATATAATTTATTTAAAACTGACAATCTTTCTACATTTCAAGACGTATAGTTGAATTTCATCTGCATAGAAGTTATAGGAGACACTGCTGTTACAGCTACTTGAACTGTTGTTGTTGTTTTGTTTGTGTTGTGTGTTTTCAGACTCGACGGGCTGCTCCAGACCTCCGCCTCGAACCAGAGAGGTTCTGATCAACGGACAGACGGTCAAACTGAAGTACTGCTTCACCTGCAAGATCTTCAGACCTCCTCGGGCATCACACTGCAGCCTGTGTGACAACTGTGTCGGTCAGTAGTGTTACACTGATTAGATCTGCCCCCAGTAACTGAATTAATTCCTACAATTAACCAGTAACAGGTTCAATTTCTCATGTTTATAACAAACCTTCAGAATTAGGAGTTACAGTTGATTTTGTAGTGAAGTCAGCATCTGTCAGTATTGTTAACTAGCAGATTTTCACCTCCCCAATATGGCGACCGCACAGACATATAGCAGTGGTATACAGCATCGACCAATGAGGTATCTGTGTTTTTATATTTATGCTATGTAGAGTACATATGTGGACATTTCACCCTGAGTTAGGCCTCTCAGGCTACATGGGAGAAGGGTCCATTTGTAGACCTCATCTGGGAACCTTCAGGTCTGTGAGCCAACGTCTCTATATCTGACATGTGGCACTTTGGTCAGTGTACTTTAAATTAAAATACTCAACAGTATATACAGTACAGTTATAATTGTCTCTATCCCAACAAGCCATAACTTAAGAGGAACATTAAAAAGAACCTTGATTAAACAATAATAATCCCTTTAATGAGAACTTTTACTTTGATGTTTTAAGTACAAAATTGTATTTTGCTGTTAATACAATTATTAATGTAGGACTTGTAAAAGAGTATTTTTTTATTATGTGCTACTTTAACTTAAAGCAGCTATAAGGAACTTTCATTTTGTGTTGATTCTGGCACCCCCTGTGGACAAAGATGGTATTGTTTATTCTGCATCATTTCATTGATTTCAATGGGAATCGAACCCTGTGGCATTAAGAATATAGAAATATCCAATCTTCTCTCTGATGTTTGTTTCTGTAGCTCATATAGAGGCATCAGAATTAAATTAATTAAATTTAACCAGTTAAATACACAAGTCTTCTGTTTCAGTGTATTTTTAAGTTAGTTTTATAGTAAAATAATAAAAAGCTCTATTGTTTCCTCCCTCAGAGCGTTTTGACCATCACTGTCCCTGGGTGGGAAACTGCGTTGGACGGAGGAACTACCGCTTCTTCTACTTGTTCATCCTCTCGCTCTCCTTCCTCACCATCTTCATCTTCGCCTTCGTCATCACACACGTCATCCTCAGTGAGTAACGCCGCCCGACACCACCTCCTCCACACGTTGTTTCTACTGTGAATCACTTATTGATCTCTTTATAAAAACACCTCAGCTGTTGCACTCTGTGTTTTCTCTATGTATTTTTATAGTGTGATATTAATACTTTTACTGACGTAAATAATCTGAAAACTTCCTGTAAGCTCATGTTCAACAGCTTCACGATGACTCAGCGCATTTTAAGTCTGTGACTGTTTTAATTATCAGTTATTTTGCTGTTTGTTATTTAATTAACTGACTCATCATTCAGTTCATAAAATGTAAAAAAAGTGACGAATTAAACTAAAAGACATTAAATTTACAATTCAGTCTATATATATATAAGAAAGCAAAATATTCTGAAAATATTTCAATTACTAACATCATACTTACTACAAACAGCAGTTTTATTACTATATCTATACTATATTATATATACTACACTACTAATATGTTTATATCATCATTTTACATCTTTGTTGTTCGCAGCCAAACAACAAATAAAGGTTTGAAACCGACTCTCATGAGTATGAAGACATTTCAGTTGTTTAAAATAATTAATTGTTTGTAGTTTTCTTGTGATTTTTGTGAAGCAAAATACAATTTTTAAAATAGAATTGTATTTTAACTTTATTTTATATGAATGATTAGTTTAAATTAATATGAAACACCTAGAAAAAATATATAATCTTGCGTTAACGATCTATAATTTAATCTAATAATATTAAACTTTATTTATACACTTTCCAAAACAAAGTTACAACCAATCTGTGTATAATTGTCTGAGCCCTCAGTGTGTGATAACCCCCGGCTGGCTCTCCTTATGCAGCAGCTTCTCATCTGCGTAATGGACGAGGCATCAACCCCCCCCACGGCCCCACCCACCGCCCTGTGATTGACAGGCTGTCAGAGAGAGGCTGACGCTGCAGTCTGTTCCCGTTTCCTGACATTGATCCATCTGATGTTCTGCAGTCTTTCTTTATATGCAGATACCAGTATATAGAGTTTGTTCAGTACTCTGATCTTTAAAAAACAACCTTATTTAACAGGATATATCTGAGGTATATTTCCCACCATAGTCCGCCCAGTAAACAGTTTCCTGATGAGTTTCTGGTCTCAGTCTCTAGTTTCAGTCTTCTTCCATACAGCATGATGTTCATTTAGTAACTGATGGTCCCATTTAGAGTCAAACAGACCATAAAG